TGAAAAGCAACAAGCTTGCGGAAGAAGCGTCAAAGATAGGACTTCAAGTGAACATAGATAAAACAGATGTGATGAAGATTCCTGGCCAACAGCAACAACAACAGACAACAATCAGCCAGCATAAATGGGAGGAACCTGAAAGGAACAACTTCCTTTACCTACCTGGGAAGCATCGTCTCAACTACAGGCGGAACTGACGAGGATAACAAAGCATGAGTCGGAAAAGCAAAACAAGCTTTCATTACTCTCAAGTCTGTATGGAGATCAACATCACTCAGCGTCAAAAATAAGATCCGGATTTTCAACTCCAATGTGAAGTCAGTCAGTGCTACTATTCGGATCAGAGACTTGGCCAGAGAGTCATAAAGAACTTCTCAAACAAACTACAGACCTTCATTAACTGTTGTCTTCGCTCAATACCACTCAAGATCAGATGGCCAGCCAGAAAAGATCAGAAACAGGGATCTCTGGCAATGAGCGAACCAACCAGGAACCGATTGTGAAACAAATAGGCAGGAAGAAATGGAGATGGATTGGCCATACTCTGAGGAAACCATCAAGTGACATCACTAAACAAGCTTTAGCTCGAGTGGAACCCGAAAGGGAAGCGGCGAGTTGGTCGTCAGTGAGAGGGTGACTTGGAGGAGGTCATGTGAAGAGGAGATGAAAGCATGTGGGCAGACTTGGAATGGGGTGAAAAAATTGGCAGAAAACCGAAGGCGATGGAGACGCGCAGCTGAAGCCCTATGTTCCTCTAGGAATTAAAGGATATAAGAAGAAGAAGAACAAGATTCGGACTCTGTTCAACACGGATGGGAATTCAGTCAGTCAGTCAGAAACTTGCACTGTGCATCTGTCACGAAAAGGATTTCCACCAAGTTATAAACTAACTTCAACAGCTACTCGCTTGTCTGGCTCCACATTTAACATCGAATGGTCAACAGTGCCAGCAAGAATTAGCACCAAGAAACTGTGGCTTGGAACAAACCAACAGGCGAGAACCGATTGCTTAACAAATATGTGGGAGAAAATGAAGATGGATCGGGTATACGTTGAGGAGGCTGGCTGTCGAATGATGTCGTGTGCCAGGCCAGTGCTCGAGTGGAATTTCAGTAAGAAGCGACGTGTGGTGTGGTTCGTCAGTGCGATGGTGACATACAGAAGATCGTGCAAAGAGATGAGAGATTATAGTCAATCCTGGACCCAGCTGCAGAGGACAATAGCAAGTAGAACAAAGTTTAAATGTTTTGTTGAAGCCGTATGTTCGACTCGGAACCCAAGGGAATTATACTAGTAATACTTTTATGTGTTTAATTCCACCCTTTACTGGATCAAGCAGGTAAATATTCTCGAATCCACATATGATTCTGCCTAATTATATACCAGATATACATTAAACTTCAGGAATAGTTGAAACGGTAGAACGTCTTGCAGTTTCGGGATGAAGGATAGTAGGAAGTCTTCTTTATCGCTCTGGTTAGTCATTGAGATAGAACCTCCGTAGGAGTATCTCCTTTGAATAGTAGACGAAAATATAATGACTTTTTCTCTACCATTGTCAGCTCATATTTGCGACTATTCTAACCGATGTCGGCTTTTGTTAACTTTTCTGGATATCCGTTTTTGCTTAGAATATATCTCAGATCAAGTCAACCTCACTCTAGATGCTAAGCAACTGAATGAAATTACGCTTGTATTTCATTGATACAAATCGAGCTTTGATCTCTAGTTTTATAAATATAGTTCTTTTAATAGATCCATCTTCTCTTCTTGTTGTTAGTATGACGTGGAGAAATTGCAAAGAGCCACTGTGTTCTAAGTCGTAGGGTGAAGTGGCTCAAAATCAAAACACTATGTGTAGCCTTTCATCATACACTAAAAAAGTTTCATCCATATACCGAACTACAGTACTGTTTCATTTTTTACTATATTATCTTTCAACGGCACCATTTATTTTATATCTCTCTATAATATTATACACAAAGAAAGTCATAGTATATCGATGCCAAGAATAAACAATGGAAAAAAAAATATTTGCCGGTCGGTGATTTTATGCATCACATGCGCGTATATATAAATGTATATCACATTACCTATTTATTACGTGTATGCTTATTTACTCTAAAATCGTGTCCTCTCTAATAATAATAATAAAAAATAATATCAACAAGACCCTGGATTATTTTATTGATTATTCAACCAATCAGTAGTGACTTGATCATCTCTATTATCTATACTACTGGTGAGTGGTAGGCTATGCATGGATAAATACAAATATTCGCATAGCAGTTGGAATGGCGGATGTCTTTCTGGTCGATTAAAATCAGATTTTTACAGTCCAATAGTAGTGACCTTGATTATATTTAAAATAAATCCTGTCCAGTATATTTGCCTGTCTGTCTGTCTATCCATCTATCTATCTGTCTCCTCCAATTGTACGTATCTGTATATAGATATATACATGCATGTGTGTATACATTAAGTTTACAGAAATTTGAATTGTGTAACCTTGAAATTGCACTTTTGTGGAGGTTTTAGTACAATGACTAAGGTGTGAATATATATATATACATTTTAAGAAATAGATCATAATTGTTTGTCCCGAGTGACTTCTGGTCGTAACATAAGACGCCTATGAATCACCAGTTGATAAAAGTTAGAATTCACGGATCCTTGAATTCTTGCCCAAATGATTGGATGATTAAGAAGTCTAGTCTCTTAGCTTTTAAAGGTCCTAGGGCTCGTTCCGCAGCTGTAGGGTTATGAAACTGCACATGCACTGATGAAGAGTCAGTCTCAAACTAGGACGAAACCGTTTTCAAGATGAAATTATCACCACAGATTACTTCGACATATGAGTGGTATCCAACTACTCATCTCATTCAATCAGTAGTATGTATATAACATGATGCCTTTATACTTGTTTTCATGAGTGCTACATACAAGTATCAAGTAGATTGTATATTTTGCATGATCTCATTGAATAATCTAGGTTTCCGAAAAAAATTTGATTTATAATACGTATTACCAGTTCACCGTGGTAGTTAGCTTACAAAACTCGATTGGTTTGAATTGATTTAGTGGCCTTACGAATTGAATGAAATCGACCACACTTTTGATGATGGATGAGCTTTTGCCTGAAAAGAACGAAATGACCTGTCCAGTGTTTAGTTTATTTCATTCTGTGGTTAGCTAGCGAACACACTACTACAAGTTGCTGTAAGTGGTGTATCCAACTACTACTACTACTACTACTACCAGCTAGTCAGTAGTATATAGTATCCAGTTGCGCGACTTTCGTTTAGCATAAAATATTAGTACAGCATCTTATTTTTGAGACTTCCTTTGTAAACAAAATGTATTATTCAGCTAAAACGTATCATATTCACACTTTATGGGTACACGCACTGCTGAGGAGTTAGTCTTAAGTAATTCGTGGCGGTTTTAGCGTGTTTCTCTAACGAAAGTCAGTATATGAACTAACTTGTTATCAATCAGTTAGTCAAAGCCCCCTTTCAAAGTAATACTTGTAAAGTGTAATTTCTTTCGAACTCACCTTTTTTAATAATAATGGAAAGACTGGTTTTACTTAACTTTGAGCCTTCATTGAAGGCTTTTAACGACCCTAATCAATTTACTTATAACCATAGTTGGTGTACTTTATATGCCACATCATAATATTGTCTCTAGTTTATACAGAGGATCTAACTGGTGTGTTGCTCACTCAGGGTGTGGTTCTTTCTCCTTTCCTGTTTTCTTTCTACTTACATGAAATACCCCATTCTGACGAAGCCGATTTTGTTAAGTATGTCGACGATCTGACTGTTTCTATGCCGGTGGTTATTTCTCAGTTAGACTGTTCTAAAATGAATAACTTTATCAGAAATTAGTCTGTGGTCCTCGTGAAACGGTGGTTAATTTCACTTTCAGATGCAAGCGCTACTTACATGAACTGGTTAGTTCGCATAGTTGCACTATTATAGATGGCACAGAAGCTGAAACCAAATAGAATATTAAATACCTTGGGGTGTGTATTTCCTCTGACCACCTTTCCTGGTCTTCCCATATCATATTAATTTCCAGAAAGATATTTCATTTGACGTCCTATATGAGAAAGCTAAGATAATCTATCTCTAGTCTTCTGCCAGTACTTCTCTGCCGTCCCCCCTCTCCCCCACCTTAATCTTTCCTGGGCTACTTGAAAAAGACTACTTTATAATACTGCGTAGGGTACTAAAACTCGTCAGCAGGTTGAGTGGGGTGTTGCTAAACTAAACCAACTCGTTGATACTATTGTAGATAGACACTTGGATTCCTACAAGAAATTAGCAACTATTATCGTGTCAGACTCTGAACATCCTGTACATACACAACTTTTCTCCTTGCTGTATCTCATCGGATAGAACTAGAAACGCAACTATGGAAGACTGTATGGTGGTTAGACGATTAAGTAAAAGAACTCTACAATACATCTTATTTAGACGGGACACATCTTATGCCATGAGAAAAGTGTGTAAGACACAGGAAATTATCAACTTAACTTACTGAGGAACTATAAAGTAAATGGCGCTGTTTTTGTTTTTTGTTCTCATTGTTACATTGTCGTTAATATTTTCATTTGGTTTAGTTTTATATTCATCATTTCTTATTGAACAATATTATTTGTGTATACACCCTATTTTTTTTAATTATTACCCCTGGAGGAATAAGAAACATTAGATGCATTATAGTTATTAGATGTTGAAAATTTCATATTTATACCAAAAGTACTGTTTAGAGTAAAGCTGCTACTATTATTATTGTTATTATTATTATTATTAGATTCGTATACCATGGTGTGTGTGTGTGTGTATGTATACCTGTGTGTCTTTTGTTCCATTTTGTTCTCGTGTTGTCAACTTTAATTTTTATAATTCAGCCTCTTTCTCTATAAGAGATGCTTAACTGTGTGTATATTTGTGTGTTTTGTTTTCTCTTTTCATTTTGTTTACTCGCTTCAGCATATTCCAGTAACTATAAGAGAATTACAAAAGTTACAAGTTCTTGACTTGGAAGAGAATCATTTAGAATCTTTACCTCCTGATATTGGTGAGTAGTTTCTGTGGCTTTATGTTTATTTTTCCATGATTAAAAAGGCATATTACAAAACTTTATTGAACTAACTAACTGATTACGTAACGGACTTCAGCTAGAGAAAGTCATTGAAAGTCAGTAGGAGAGTACTGCTGGGATATTTCTCCTGTTACGCGTTCACTGGGGCTCGGCACTAGGATCAACTCGTGTCAAACCTCTAAACCCATACTGATTTCTGTAAACCAAGATTTCATAATTAATCTGGTGCTTATTAGCAACTGGATCTATGCAGTAGGCTACTCGGAGTTCCAGTGAGATGTCGTAACCAGCCGGGGACCAACATGTCAAGTAAAGGAAGAGTTACTCACCTATGAAAGTGGCTGGCGGTTGCGCTACATATATTTATCACGAATTGTCAGAACTCGGATTCATTGACTGATCATTGGGTTCTGTCTTCTGAGCAGAAAGTTCTGGTCTTGAGTCACAGTTGATCCTCAGTCTTCTATTAGGTTCTCTAAATGATGTCAGCATATGATAAAATCTTTAAGTTACTGATGATCTTCTTGATCGTGGTGGTGGACTGGATCATGCCATAGACCGTGGGAAACGAAAAGACGGATATATATATAGGGTAAGCCGACACCAAAGATCCTGCATTTCGTGGATAACTTATGTCTTGTTTGCAAAAAGTAAACGAAAACCAACAAATTCGACAGAGGAGGTTGGCAAAAACTGGACCGTACGTGGAAGCAGAGAGAAGACAGGAGTTATGAAGATAGATATTCGATCAATAAACAAAAATCGATCACCAATAGGTGGTGAAATATAAAGCAAGTTATCCTTTTTTTGCTTATCTGATCTGGACAGCATCCTGTCGACTACAGTCGGTGGCATGAATAAAGACGTCAAAGCCATCCACGGTTGAAAAAGTAAGATTGGAGTTCACTATTCTGAAAGCAGTTTGAAAATCTACAGCTCACTGAGGGCAAAGAAAAAGATCCAAATTTCCAAAACTAATATCAATTTAGTACTTCTAAATAGACGTCGGTGTCACAGCGGTTAGGACGCTCGCCGACCATGCACATGGTCTGGGGTCCGATCCCCGGCCGACAAACTCCTTTACCTCGCTAAGCCAGAAATAATTCTGGTAAAGAGGAAAGGTTGGGCATGAGGCTAGCAACCTCATCCTGTAAAAATAATCACCACTGCTACAGAAACTTCATGCCTCTAGCTTGAAGCCCTATGTTCCACTGGGAACGTGAAGGAAAAATTATGTTTTTTTACATTTCTAAATGGCCCAGAAACTGTGAACTTCACCGGAAGCATTTCCAGCAGGCTACTGCAGACTTTTATCAGTATCTATCTTCGCTTGGTTTAGAAGATCAAGTGGCTAGTCGAGATGTATAAGCAACAGGGAATTTTATCAGCGAACTAGACCAGAACCTATTGCTCAAAAAATATTATTTATTTATTATTATTATTATTATTCCCTTGGGTTACAAGTGGAAGATAGGGAGGGCTTCAACAACACATCTCCACTTTGTTCTATTTGGTACTGTCCTCTTCATCTGGGTTCACGATTAATCATAATCTCTCATATCCTCCTCTCTCCACACGATCTCCTCCATTTCACTCTCGAGGCGATGACTCACTCGCCGCTTCCCATTCAGATTCTATTCGACCACTGGTATGGTGCGCGATGTCATTCGACTGTGTCCTCAGTGTATGCTGAATCCATCTCCATTTTCTCGTACATATTTGTTGAACAATTGGTTCTCGCCTGTTGGTTTGTTCCCATCCAAAGTTTCTTGTTGCCTAGTTCTCTAGCCGGTCCCAAGCTGAGGTATAGAGGGAGGCTTGGTTGTTGGGCTATAGTGACCCTATCCCACATAACCAATCAAACTGCTACAGAAACTTCAACTCTTAACAAATATACAAAATGAAATGGAGATGAATTAGATGCACTCTAAAAAGAGACCTTCAAGTAATATCACACACCAGAGAAACTCTCTGGTGGAGCGAAAATAGGAGGCGACAGACTGAACGTTTCAAGGTGAGATAGATACGCATCACTAATAAGTGCCGGCTAAGAATTAATCGAATTCAGTATTTTGTCTTGTTTTAATTCAGTGATTGCATTGCAATGATCTGTTAGGTTTGGCGTATCGCCTCTACTGGTTTTCATGTCTGACTAAATTGTCACCTCAATCAGCAGCTAGAGTTTTCATTCAATAATACTTGGCTTTATACTTAAGCAAAGTGGTACTTATAACCTTTTTAAAAAAGGATCATGCTCTCATCAAGGATTCTTATCTATGTGAATATCGAATTCCCCTGACTTGATCGTTACTTACCTGTTCACAGTGTCAGAACTGATGAAGTACACGAAAAAGTTGTGAGTTTTATTTTAGTTATAACTCCTTTATGTATGATTACTAATATTAATATTATTGTTCTCCCTATAGGTTACTTGGGCGAACTTCAACGCTTAATTGTTCAGTCAAACAGACTTATCAGTTTACCACGGGAAATCGGGTAATTATTATGTGATATGTTGTTATTATCATGTAAAATTTATTTTTATTGCCATTCCTTTGGGTTCCGAATGGAACTCTGTAGTTGTCTTTACCTGGTTCCATGATTGCCCATTAACTCTCATTTCCTCCACGTCACCCAACTCGTCGAATCCCATTCGGGTTTCTTTATAGGATGTGCCTGGTGTTTGTGCATGTATATGATGTCATCCAACAGTCTCTCCAACATGTCCCAATCCATCTCTATTTTCTTCTGCTTGTTATTTTGTTGTGTCAGTTCACTGCCTTGCCAGAGTTCCTTGTTGCTATCTGAAGTGTTGAGTCACTAAAGGCAAATGTTGTTGAAAGTTAGTGATATTATATAGTTAGAGGCAGGGCTAGTCTCGCATATGCCAGTTTTGCCGTCTCCGGCGTAGGCGTGATATCCGGCTAGCTATCGACCAAAGGCGAGTGTACTGCTCATCAGTCCGCTCCGTCCTCCTTATGGCTGTGAGCGAGACATGGCCATTGAGGTGGAAGACATGAAAAGACGGCTCAAAATCGTTCTCAATGGCGCAGATGCATCCACTCCCTGTGACTTATGATTTCCAATGAAATTGTTTGGTTCTTCGTTATAGTATCCTTTGTCTCACACCTCTGCTTACTGTCTCTATTATGCGTTTCTTGTACTTTCTTCTCTTGGTTTGTGTGCTACATGGAGTGTGGAGACTTGAACTGGTGCACATATGTGTAAAGTTCTATGTCGAAAACAGACAGACAGACATCGGCAGGAAGCTTTGCTTAACTCAGGTTTCGTGCTAGTTAGTCTTCACCAGTCAGTCAGCAAGGCGTATCTGCAGTCAAGCTTGAAGAATGAATTCGTTCAGACAATGTTAACAGGATGTTCAATTTTTATACTCCTTATAGAGTCACTGCTAGCTTTCTGCAACCATTCAAGATAGTGTTTTGAACGCTTTTAGACAGGGTACGCATTGAACGACTAATATGTCTGGCTACACAGAAACTGGTGAACTGATATATGTATATAGAAGGGGTCAGATGCGATACCTTGTCTTTCATGCTACTGTAGGCCAGTGGGAAACTGACGAACACTATTCTTAGCATTACTGTAAAGAGTTTTCTTTTCAAAGATGATGAGATTCTCGTCTTAAGGATACTGCAGATTAGGTCTCCCTTGAAATTAGGGTTCATATAAAGTTCTCTTTAGTAGAAATAGTGTTTCGTTTCTTTGAACTTTTTGCTTGAATCTCGTTAGGATGGGGACTCTTTCAAAAGATGTAACTCTTCTTCTACAGCGTCAGGGCTGCAGTTATGTTTGGTCTGAGGGGCAAGGATGTGATTAAATTTCATCCTCGTCATTTCGTTATTTAGTTGAATGGTTATACAGTAACCTTTCAAACGAAACCGTTTTTATACTTTTTCATCTGAACTACTAAATAGTAGTAAATTGAGTTTCAGAAAATTATCGCCATCTTGCTCTGTTTGTCTCAGTCAGAGAATGCACCTAGACAATGTGGGCAAAACGTGGGTTAAACGGGTAATTTTGGTCGGCAAAAAGGGCTTAAAATGCCACACAATTAACCCAATTTACCCATACTGCAACCGAAAACAGCCCACTTTTTCCCACTCTGCCCAATTTCAAACGGAGAACTGCTCACTTTTCTACCCACATATCCCGGGGCTAAAAAAATTCACTGACTGGGTGTGTGTTTAGGTCGAACTATCTCTAGGATTAATGTTTGCTTTAGAACCAGAGAGTACTGAATAGCTATTTTGTCTTATTTTGGAAGTCTTCAGTCGTGCGCACCCATGAATCCACCATGGATTGAACCCAAGACCTTCAGGTTACAAGGGCAAGCTGGTTGACAATTCTACCACTTCGGCTAGCTGTCACTGATCATAGGTGTCTGAGTTCAATGTCCCGTGTTAAGTAGGCATATTGGCATCTGTCAAGTGCTAGGTAAGGAGGGGAAGTCTATCGACGAGGTTGCGAAGTTACATCGGTTGAGACGGTTAGGATATGTGTTACGCATGCTGGCCCAGCCATCCCTCGCCTTCCTCAACATATAATGTTAACCGCTGACATAAATGGATTAGGTTGCAAAAAAAGCTTGTGGTGGTCAAACGAAAACAGGGCTTCATCAGTCAATCAAAATCCACAATAGTCAGTTTAAACCATGTAGGAAGGTGTATATTTCCTGAGTGCTTGAGATTCTGGGGATAGTAAAAACCAATAAATGCTGGAGACAGTTAGTGATATGGCTCAAAATCGTTCTTGGTGATAGCTGGCCCAGATGCATCCACTCTTTTTGGTTTATAATATCTAATAAAATTCTGTTCTTCCATATTATTATTTTTTACTTCGCACTTCTGTTTATTTTCTCTCTTCTCTTGCTTTGTATGCTACATATGGAGGAAGTGTGGCAACTCGAACTGCTGCATATCAGTGCAAATTTCTACGTTAAAGCCAATCAGTCAGTCACCACTTTGGCTGGTTTTCAATGATTCTCCAGCTGATATGGTTCTTGACAAAATCTACATTTAAATTTATCTAAATCCCTTCACTCAGTGGCATCTCGTCAGAGTATGATCAATCTACCCATTGTTGCTTATGCTTTCTGGCCATCTGATCTTTAGCATCTGGCGAAGGTATTTGTTGACGACAGTGGTGAATCTGTTGAAAAGGCTTTTGGTGATGCACACGCCAAGTACCTGAACCATATAGAATCAGTGATTAGACACTTGTGTTAAAAATCTGGTCATTATTCCTCGTATTGAATGTTATAGAGATCTCCCTACTCATTTCATGAAATTAAATTATCTCCTGCCTTGCTTTTTCGATCATAGCTAACTGTGACATCATCATTTATACACCACCGTCTTTAGTTGACAGGATGCTGCTCATGGTGAAGTGAAGGTAACGCCTTCATTTAGGTGCCTTCCATTGATGAATTATAAAACACATTTTTTCACTTCACGTTCCCAGTGGAACATAGGGCTTCAAGCTAGAGACATGAAGTTTCTGTAGCAGTGTTTATTTTTACAGGATGAGGTTGCTAGCCTCATACCCAACCTTTCCTCTTTACCAGAATTATTTCTGGCTTAGCGAGGTAAAGGAGTCTGTCGGCCGGGGATCGAACCCCGGACCATTTGCATGGTCGGCGAGCATCCTAACCGCTGTGCCACCAACGCACATGAAACGCATAGATGCTTTAACTCAAAATCCAGTACGCTGCTTAAGTCAATAGATTATATCACCAAAACAAGTTTACCTTTAGCGTTTATATTTCTTCTAATTGTTGTCGTTTTTTGTTTTCCTTACCACATGTCAGTCGTTTGCACAACTTGGTTTATTTGGCTGTGGGTGAAAATGATCTGCAGACTATACCAAATGAAATAGGTAAGTTTTTGAATAGTTATCATTTTCGTATCATTTTTTCTTTTTAAAGTGAACTTTATAATAAAATTTATTTTCTGACCGACTGATCTATACCTTTGTTATCTAAAACCATGACAGTTAGTTATCATTACATTTCCCATACGATAATTCCATTGAACGCTAGTTTTGTTGGTTACTTAAGCAACAGTTGCTCAAGAGTTTTAGTCATTATTCCGACCTTCTGACGTCATACTGTCCTTTGATGATCAGTTCATGAAGTAGTTAGAGAATGTGCAGTACTACTCTGTATACTCAACTCTGACTAGGTATTCTTATATCTCATCTGATGCATATGTATAAAAAAAGGTTACTGGAAGCGTCGGTGATTCAATGGTAGGATGCTAGCCGACTCCATATGAGGTCAGAGTTCGATTCCCTACCGACAAATCTCTTTACACCTCGACAAACTGGTAATGGGCCACTTAAAAAAGGAGAAGGTCTGGTGTTGAAGGTAGTTAATCCCATCCCATGATTACAAAAAACAACAACACAGCTACTGAAACTTCCAGGGTTCGAGCTTGAAACTGTATGTCCCACTTTGAACGCAAAGAGCTTCAATCTTCGAAGTTTCAGTGGTGGTGTTGTCGTTTTTATTATGCGGCGTGGTTACTAGCCTCACAGTCAATCTTCCCTCTTCAGTGGGTTTACTAACAGCAGTCGATGTGGTGAGGTTTCGGAGTGCGTCGGTCGGTATTGGAGGCCGGGCCACCTACATGGTTGGCGAGTATTCTATGACTAAACCACCGACGCACAAGAATCTTTAGATACTGAATGCTTGACTAATAAATAGTATATAATAAATTTGAAGGTATCTATCATATCCATATCCACATAAGCTGGTGATTGGAGATAATAAATCAGCAGGCAGAGTCCTGGACTCAGGTTTCGTACTTGTTATTAGCGATCGTCATCTATGGTGTATCGAAGGCCTTGAAGGAAAACTTATCTCCTCCACCTTCTGAAATTCAAACTAGTGTCATTTAGTGTTTCAGTCAGACTTGTTACCACTGAACAATTATTCGGGGCTCAAAGGTCACCGTGACAGTGAGATATCTACTTGTATTGATTCTACAGAAAGTTAATCTTATATCGGAATAATCTAGTGGCAACAGTATCTTTGACTTCAGCAAAAAATTTGAGGCTGGTTTGAATCACACACACAGACACCCACAGAGAGGGAGGCATTAGTTTTCCTTCGACGGTTGTTCAGTATGAATAAGCACAAAGCCTAGATGCCAGGCGTACTGTATACCATTTTCCGTTGATCATTTAACACCACTTCAAAGTGTGCAACGCGATAGAGAGTCATTTGGTTTAGCGATCATCTTTCAGATATATTTGTCCTTGGTTGCCAATCTATACGTACATATATCTCACTTATTTAATTTATCAGAACGTGCTACCATCCGATAAGAACGTGTAAAACAAAATGATGATATCATTTTATATTGTTTATTTATATTACTGATTTTTTTCCTTCACGTTCCCAGTGGAACATAGGGCTAGTAACTTGAAGTTTCTGTAACAGTGTTTATTTTTACAGGATAAGGTTGCTAGCTTCATGCCCAACCTTTCCTCCTTACCAGCTTTGTTACTGGCCTAACGAGGTAAAAGAGTGTGTCGGCCGGGTGTCGAACCCCGGACCATGTGCTTGGTTAACGAGCACCCTAACCGCTGTGCCACCGGCACACATATTACTGATGGTCTACTAAAAAAAACGTATAGTAGTCTATTGTAGAAAAGACTGGGGGGGGGGATGAAGATAACCGTACAACAACAACAACCACAAGAGCCAACCACTAGCAACGTAAACAATTTGAAAGAAGTTGTAACAGCAGAAAACAAGGGCCGGCAACAGATCATTTTCTTACGGAAATCAACACGTATTTATATATATTTCATGTACATTATTATAGCTTATTCAAGTAGACAAACGCAGGCTTCTGATTGGTTGTTTCGGGTAACCTCGGAAAATGGAACCATCTATCTGCGAATCATATTCGCCCACGTTAAGTCTGCTATGATTGGTTGTTGAATCAGCCTTGTTCATATTTTCTCACGGCCCATATTAGTGACCTTAGACATTGACGTAGATTAATGTCAACCAATTGGCTAGCAGCCTGCTCTCACCACAAAGTCACTTCGTTCACTTATCCAGGAAGTATCATTCCAACTACAGGCGGAAACATGGATGAGGATGTCAAAACCAGAGTCAGAGAGGCAAAGCAGACCTTCGATACTCTGAAATCAATTTGGAAATGTATTACACTCAGCACAAAAGAATGAAACTCGAATTTTCAACACCAATGTTAAATCAGATAGTTAGTTCTGTATTGGTCAGAAACTTGTACTGCACATGCTTCACGAAAATCATTTGTAACAGGTGTTGCAGAGTTTTATCAACAGCTACCCACTTCGCTCTATTTTGTAGATCAAATAGCCAGAAAGAACTAACAACAAGAAACTCTAGGAATGAACCAAACAGAAATCTGTTGTTCAACGAATAGAGACGGACTGTGGATATATGCGGAGAAGATCGCTGGGTGAAAGTCACCCTCCAGGCTAGTACCCGATAGGAACTTGAATGGCAAACGAGTTGGGCTTATGTTCGATATTGACACGGAACATTTCGTGTGAGGAGGAGGTGAGCGACTATGAGCAGTCGTGTGGGACCAGCTAAACAGGACTGCAAAGAATAGGGCAAAGTGGAAATGTGCTGTTGAAGCCTTATGTTCCATTCTGGACCCATGGGAACAATAATAATAATTATAATAATATTAAAACAATTAGTCCCTTTGATAAATTTGAATAAGGCATTAAGAAGACAAATTTTGCGAGATGATATCATTTCGTAGTTTCTTTACAACCGCTTTACAACTAACATGGTCAACAATGATCAAATAAAGTTCATGAAAATTACTCAGTTAAATAAAAAACAAAAGTACATACTAATGACCAATCATATTTATATAGGTCATGTAGTCCAGGGTAGGCGAAGATTGAAGTCTATTGATTTTTAGCTGTATGTGGTTAATCCAAAGAACATGTTCCAAATTGGCTACTAAATCATATCGAAAATCCCAACGCGATTAATCTTAATAGAAATCCAGCATCATCTATTGCAAAACACTTATTAATCTCAGGTCACAAAATCAATATTAATGACTGTTTCACAATTATTTCACATAATCCTAATTCAAGGTTATTGAAGGTGATGGAAGCACTTTGAATTAATCACATACATCCTAAACTGTGTGTACAAAAATCAATAGACTTCGATCTTCGCCTTCCCTGGACTACATTAGCCTTTACATATGATTGGTCATTAGTACATACTTTTTTATTTCGTTTAACTGAGTAATTGTCATGAAATCTATTTTATTACTGTTAACCATGTTAGCTGTAAAGCGGTTATCAAGATACTACGAAATGATAGCATCTCGCGAAATTTGTCTTCTTAATGCCTTATTCAAATTATAATAATAGTGTTTTATAGGGTAACAGAAGAGGGAGGCTTGACGTAACTGATACAATTACTCAGAAGTGACATCCAAAGTGAAATTATGAATTGCTTAATAGTTGGTTGGTTATGTAATAGAAGGTTGACAGAGAACTCTTACTCCTACCGTATCGTTAACCACTATGTAATTTCTTTTTATCTTTAGAATTGACTTCTGAGTAATTGTATCTACTATGGTATGCCTTATTCCTCTGTTTCTCAATAATGAATACTGTGCATCTTTTTTCATAATTATAAATTTTGTGGATAAGCAGAAGTTAAAATTCATGGACAGGACATTAGATTCCGTCCCATAGTCACTAAATGATCAGTGAGCTTGCCTTGTAATCTGAAGATCCTGGAGTTTGATCCCTACTGATAGTTCAAGTCATAGGTGCTTACTGCTGAGCAGTCAGTCCTAAGAAAGAACAAAGCAGCTGGTTGGTGCTCTAACTGACACCGTCAAGTTCTTTATGAAACTTGATATATATATATATATATATATATATGATTGTACAACCTTTGAGGGGATAACTTTGTCGATAAAGAAAGAAAATGCTTATTTCTGATAATCTTAAACAGAGATATTTTCTCCTCTCTGCATATCTTTCCTACTTTCTTTTTCTAGGTGATTTGCATAAATTGGAAACATTATATTTGAATAATAATTTGAATTTACACGATCTACCCACGGAATTGGCTATGTGTTGTAGCCTACAAATGATGTCTATTGAAAATTGCCCATTGACACAAATTCCTGTTGAAGTAGTGACTGGTGGTCCATCACTTGTCATTCAGGTAAGCAGCCAGGGGTAACCCATCTTCCTCCTTTTTTGTATCCAGTTGTTTTTAGAAGATGTGATAATGAGCAGGTTTCAGTGTACTTTAAGTCCTTTCGTGTGAATAGAGGTGAAATTTTAATACCCTAGGATTCGTGATATCTGTATCAATCAGCGCTCTTGGCTCCACATTTCATGCCTTGGAGTCGGACAGTTTAAATACAGTGTGATGACACTTTTACGCAACAGTATACTTGTGCTTATAAGGACGAATATTTGCACAGGATGTTTGAATTACAGCCAACTCCTCCTCCATCAACACATTTTGGAACTGGCCTTCGAAAACTCCATCGCGATAGAATATTATTCACATTTGGAAACAGTCCGATCATGTTTCGTTAGTAAGGCTGGAGTAACGCCTCGATGGTAAAATTCATACCTTCGATTATTTCTCTAGCTATCTTTTCATGGTTGGCGGATGATCACTCAGTATCTTATCAGATCAGGTGGCACACTATCGATGACTACAGCTACTGACATTTTGGCTTTGATGAATTTGTACGTGCGCCGGATAGGTGATGTCATTTCCAAAAACCATTATCAATTCTTGACTGCTCTCAATCAGGTCACGTTTTTGCCATGTCAAACCACTGAGTTTCTCATTAAGCTTGAGGTTCAGAAAAACGTTCTGTCTATCTAAAATATGACTTCGCACACATTGGGTGTAAATGCCCATTTGTTGGTCACTTAGACGTTTAATGGCTGATTACAGCTGTTGATCGTATGGGATAAGAAACAGGAAAGCATATCCTTGTCTTTAAAACTCTTCGGACCTCCTGTCAAGTCCTCCTTTCAGGTGGGCTAGGTAAAGACACTGTGTCGGTGGGGAATCGAACCCGTATATGCTACACGGCTAACTGTTTAGCATTCCACCATTGAGCCACCGACACATAAGCTCGTAAGAAGCACTGAATATTCCTCAACTTGGTTAATAAAAAGTGTACACAAACATTCATCTTCAATCCCGAGAAAGTATATCGCACTAATCAGGGCATTCTACTTGAAGTCGTACAGCTGTGTAAGAGCTTATGGAGATTTATCATCTAAAGGGATGCCTACTGGTGTTGTCCGTCAGGAATGACCAATATCCTTAATTTCATTAGTATACTAATGGGTGTGACTCTGATCAACTTCAGCGGCTTAGTGACTGATTTGTTAACAAAGAAGTGTCTCGTCAATTTGTAGTATGCAGGTCATGTAATCCTTCTAGACGCTGACAAAATGTAGAGTGTTCTGAATACCTTAGGTATAAGTCTTCGAATGTTTGGTATGTGATTGGCCCCCGTTAAATGTAAGATTATGTTCAAAGATAGGGAGCCAAGTGGTTGGGCGTATTGACAACTTCATTCACTTGAGAATTGCATCAACCCTAGTTGAATAATACCCATACTATCTCTTTTCCCTTCTTAATATTTGTTAAGTAATAGAATAGGTTGTTGGCCAATTCTCTGGTTGCCATACTTATCCTTTCTGGCCATTTGATGATATTCCTTGTTTTGTGTCATTTCAAATTAATCCCTTTTATACTTCTTCCTTATTATAAATTCACAGTTTTGAAAATGAGTTTCATAGAAAGGTTGATGATACTGATTAGACTTTAGGGGTAGAACGAAACTCCCCAGCATTATCAGTTGCAGTAGAGAAATTCCAATGTTTCTTGGGTTTTTTTTCTCAGCAGGTTTTTTGATTGTTGTTAGATGACTAGAAAGAAGAATAGTCTCCTTTTCCTGAAAAGTCTGCCTACTAGTAATATCTCCGTCCGCCCACCAATATATCGATATCTGCTATTACTGTATTCTCCTAATCTTCACACAAATAAAGTTATAGTAATGAACATTTCATATTTTTCTAGTAGATTTCTCCTGACACGAACTGTTAAGTTTTCAAGCAGACTGACACAATAATAATATCGGAAATGTGTATTCGCAAACGTGCGAGTTAGAAATAATATAATTACCAATATAAAGAGCAATAGTTATACAATAATTATATACCTCAGCATCGGGCTGAGCGGCGGACATCTAACGAAGTGCTGGAATCTCATTGGTTGTTCTTCGTATTGATGTGTAGGCGTTTATCGGTTTGCAAAAATCTGATTGGTTGTTTACCTGGTCAACGTCTAGGCGGCTATCAATGTGGTCAAGGCTGATTGGTTACTTATCTGACTAACGCGTAGGAGAAAATCAATGTATGTAGGACTTAAATTCTGAGTGACATACTATCGATCAATTCTCTGGTTACGCATAACAGCAACACAGTTTGTTTATTGTTCATCTGTGTGAAAATATTTGTATATGTTTTCATGATTATTCCGTTTTCCGTATTTCTTCCCTTTTACTTACAGTATTTACGCTTACAAAGTTCTTTCAGTCATATATGAAATTCTTCTGCCTTGTCTTGTTAATGTTGATGAATCCAAAAATTTCCTGAATTGAAAAAGAGGCTGACAGACACAAAAACGCCAGCCATATCGCAGTAATGAATCATAACTACATCGAAGACAACAAAAAGCACAACACTGTCTACAACGATAACAACATCTTCCCTTCATCACTCTCTCCACAAGGACATTTTAATTTTCAAACAAAGTTGTTTTGTATGTGTATGTATTGTGCCCGAATGTGATTGATACACACCCTATGGTTGCTGTGGTTACCTGTATATTTCATTATTTCAACAACACTTTGATAGTTTTATTCAAATAGTGTATATTGTGTGTTGTATACAAAGGATACAAAAGAGGTGAGGTACATTTATTTCCATTGATTTGTTGTTTTCCACGTATTTCTGTTTTCTTTGGTCACAGTGATTTCTGTGTACACTCTGAGAAAAGTATTAGATCATTATATTTCTGTATCATTATGTGATTATAATAATTGTCTTCATACGTCGTCTTCTGTGTGTAACAATTGATTTGTTCTCCAGTTTACTCGTTTTTCCCCTAACTTATGAATTAACTTCATCACCAGTTTGAAATGGGAAGGGAACATTCTCTCTCTGCTTAATGTGCTTCATGTGACTTTGAGTGAAAAGTTTATTGTATTGATAGACACATATGTAAATCGTACACTGATTAATGTATATTATCTTGCAAGAATGAAAGATCAGATTTCTTCAGCATCATTATCGTCAATTCCCGCCCCCTCTTCGCATCGTTTACACACTTTTTTTTAAAGAATTTTTCAATCTAGTCGCATTTCCTGCGCGTTTCTGTTTTGTTTTGTTTTTTTTGTTTCGTTTTTTCTTTGCATTTATGTGTAACTAACTAATTTATCTTGCATCCAGCTGTTGTATTCTTATTTGTTCTCCATCGAAAAAAAGTGTCTTTCTCTGTTGTGTTTTTGAAGTACAGAAGTTCTCGTTTGAGTACAGCTAGGTAAGAGTGTAAACAAAATCACAGAAACAAAGCAACCCTCTACCCCCCCCCGACACAAAAACATATATGTTTATTCATATGTGTATAGAATAAAGTTTATCTTTCCGAATCTTTCTTCTTTGTTTCTAACCTTTTCACGTAGTTGTGTGTGTGTGCGCGTGCGTGTGTGACTTTGTTTGTTTTTGTATTTAATCCGTTTATCTCTCTCTCTTTTGTCGTCTTCTTTTGTCTGGCAGCCATCTTTCTTTTTACTATGTCTTTGATGTAATTTAGACGCATCCCACTCATCGCCTCAGTGTTGTTGTCAGTAATTCTTTTTGGGGGGCTTCAGTTTTTCTCCTTTCGTCTCACATATTCGTTTTAATCTTACACTGAGTTATATAAAAAAACACAGCTGATATTATCCTGATTTTTGATTTTATTTTATTTTATTATTCTCAATGGAAGATAGATATTATAAAGTACAACTGTGAAGGAACTGTTTTACTCATATAATATATATGTGCGTCTTTGTATGTATGTTTGTGTTAATTAACAGTTATGTGGATATTCTTTTACAGACACAGACCTTTGTGTACAGTAGTAATCTTATGTATGTATCACAATTTTATACATGTTGTCGTCTATGATAAGGAGTTGCTGTTGGTGTTGTTATTGTTATTGTTGGTTTCGCTCCTTTGTTTTTGCTGCTGCTTATTTTATCCAGTTTATCAAATTATTCAAACAAACGTTTGTTTCTCGTTTATTGAATTTTTTTGTCAAATATTATCTTTATTTTTCAAACAAATATTCTTGAATGATAAAACAATAATAACAATAATAATAATAATAGTGGTGATAAAGATTTTAATACCACTAACAGCTTCAATACTCTTCCTTTATACTTGTAAGTAATTGATTCACTTTTTTTTACTTTGTTCAATGTTCAGTTATTTTTATTATTTTGTTTATTCATATTGTATGTGTGTGTGTACGTATGCGCTTTGTCACGCGCGCGCGCGTGTGTGCATTCATTTAATTCGCTAAAGATATGTCTAATATGACAATTCGTTATTAATGACTCATTATCAATAATATTTTAAATAGTCATTTAATTTTATCATTATTCTTATATGAAAGAATACTTTTTTTCAAAAAGTTTTATTATTATTATTTTTGTGAGTGTGTGTTTTGTTTTGCTTTGTTCATTTGCCTTCTTCTCCTTTTTTTTCTGCTTTTTAATACGCGCGATCATGTGCTTCTTACATATGTTTATTTTTCAGAAAATTAATTTTACTTGTTGAACACAATCTCTTTTTGTTGTTGTTGTTGTTGTTTACTTTTCTGATAAGTGTTTTTATTTTTGGAAATCTGCTGTCTTAAAAATTAAAAAATAAATAGAATTATTGAAAGAAAAAAGTAAACTATATATCATCTGATATTATTAAACTTTGGGTCTGTCTTGGTCATGTAGCCGAAGCCAAGAGTACTGTGGATAGTGTCACTAATTGAAGGTGTATGCCTAATTTATATATCATTTCAAGAAAGGAGAGAAAAAGGGTCAGTTCATTGAATGAACCATCTTTTAATCTACGTTTCAGTTGAAAACAGATACATTGAAAGATGAGCTACTTGCGGTTTGACTGTAATCATTGAACCGAAGGTGGATGATCATCAGGAAAGTTTTGTGTGTCTATGTGCGGTTAATACTTACAGGCTGGATACATTGTAGGAGTTCTTATTTCTTTTTGACTTACCCGAAAGAGTAGTGGTGTTCTCTCCAAACTTACAACTCAGGGGATAACTGATTCCTGTCGTTAAGTGATTTTTAGATTTTTGCCCGTACTAAGATCTTACCTTTGCAAGGTAGATGGGGATGTACAGTTTTTTTGAGGGGTAAACGTTTTCTAACCCCTCCCTATCCAGAACAGAAATATAGCATAGGTGGCTGGCTGTTTATCCTACAGAGACACACTACTGTCTTCATAATATTACTAGTCTGCGGTAGGCCTTCACCTTGACACCCTGGCATGGTTTGGCTGACTTACTATGATGGGTGCTACTGCCAAGATTAACTAAGTAGTACTTTGTGTGTAACGTCTTCTCAAAGAATGTCGAATAGGGATGGGTTAAACGACGAGCAAGATCCTTTTGAAGCAACATGGAAGGAGCACAATACGGAGAACATTTACGAATGGTGACTTTGGTTTAAGTTATTTGTACTCTGCAGATAAAAAACTCCTCTGTCAAATACTATTGTGTTGCACTTTTATATTTGATATCTCTGCCAACAACCAAATGAAGATTCCATTACCTTCAGTGATCGAACAGGCAGATATACGGAGCTTCTTTTGAGATTTTGAGGTTGTTGCTGGGTTGACAGGTTTCCAGGACCAGTCGACGAAAATGGTTGAACTGGGGACGCTGCCGATAACTCAGGTGAATCCGGACGTATTGGTGCTGAAGCTGACAAATCTACATCATCTTCCCATTCCAACGCTTTATGAAGAGTCCCAAGATCAGCTGTTGACATCCCAGTTTATTGAGAATATTCCAGACCACATTTCTCAGTAGCTACGACTGGTTAATGCCGCACAACCTATGGATATTGGTGCGCTGGCGAAGGTTACCAGACAGCTCTTCAGCATAACCCTAGCCTAAATAGAACCACCCAGAATGAACCAGCGGGAACGACAAATCGAAGATTTGCAGTGGTACTATGTATGGGCGTGAGGAAAAGTCAATGATTTGCGTATGGAGAACAAAGCACTGGCAGAAATACTGCTGAGTGGAAGAAAAAACAATTTTAGACAAGATAATGTCTGTCCTTCCTATGCGATTACATTAGAACTGGTGGGAGTGATTGAGAGAAGTATGATCTATATTCTAGGGTGGAAGCGAATGACTGAGAAGCCATGTGTCTAACGCGAAGGGGCAATGGTTTCACCAATGGTTAAGAATCGATTTCATAGCGTCAGATCGTGTACATTACCAATTCAGATAGATGGGTTTGTGCTTAAAATATGAGGTATTTCAGAATGCACCGTTCACATTAGTGAAAGCAAAGTAACCTTTCCACTCAATTTTGTGCCCTAATTACTGTGAACAACACTTGGTGCTGATTTTATGCAAGAAGCGTGGTGAATAATATGAGGTAAAGGACCAGTAGATCAGCATGCAATACGATAGCAAGGTGGCGGGGGCAGGCTGATAACGGGCATCTACAGGCTGCATCAGAGATGTTAGCTAGAGAATACGAGCGTCTATCTAGTTGGGATGGGAACCCTTGCGGGTATTTTGATAATGTATGGCATAAAAACCTAGTGATGGGGTGGAAACTGGCAACATTTACAAATCGAAGGGTTTCATGTACCTTAGAAGGACAAGTTGAGAGGCGTGTTCAGTTGTTAAACAGTGATTCTTTTGAAGGAGTCGACAGCCCATATAGCTCTGCAGTCTTTGGGATGATAAAGCTGATGGCGAATGCGGATTTTGTGTTGATTTTTGATAGTCGAACAGCATAGCAGAACTGAGACCCTGCTGCATACCAAATGTGACAGAAATCATAAATTGCATACAAAATACTAAGCTGTTTATGATTCTAGACCTTCTATCAGGATACTGACGAATACCGATAAAACAAGGCTACAAAGTCAAGGCAGCATTCACCGTTGAAAAGAAAGTATATTGGTATAAATGTATGCTATTTGAATTAGTAGGTGTACCTTAAACATCAAGAGAACTAATGTTGTTACCTGAAGACTTCGAGAAAAAGCAAATGTACAGTGATGACCTAGTCAAGTGTGACCAGACAGCAAGCGAATATGTGGGACATACAGAAGCCATTTTAAAAGGCAACACGAGGAGGTTCCAATATCCAATATCGTTTTTACGAGCTAGTATAAACCAATTTGATTTCTTTGTGCTCGCTTCTTGATTGTAAGGTATAGGTTCCTGATCTTCGGTAAACTTCTGAGTAGCTTGTCCCGCCACTCGACTGTCGTAGCTTTGGTTGACTCCAAAGG